GGTAGGAGAATTAGGTTATCGAAAAAACATTTGAGAAACTTACGAAGAGGATACTATAGCATGAAGAAAGAAAGAGTGTGAGAAGAAATAAAACAGACCAACAACTCCTCAACTCCACCCCCAACCACTAATCCCAAAACAGAACAAGAACAGCAAGAACACAAAAAAGACAAAAATCAACCCCAACAAGAAACCCAAACCAATAACTCCCCAACTGAAAACCCCCATTCTCCAAAAACCAAAAACCAGAGTGTTCCTACCAATCCTAATAATAATTCCGAACCACCCCACCAATCCCCAACTCCTCCTAATAACGAAACTTCTAACCTATTCCCTACCCCTACTACTATTCAAAATCACTATAACCAGGATAAAGATAAATCCACCATTGAAAACAATTCTAATTCAACCACTCCAGAACAAAAAAAACAATCCGAAGCATTATTAAAATTAATCATTGAAGCAGAATTCTTAATTAAGGATAAACAATTTAACTCTGAAACTTTATCTAAACTACTTAAAGAAAAAGAACAAAACACAGAAACTTATCAACTCTTAAAAGAGAGGATAGAACAGGTTATTAATGAATTATCTAGTTTGGAACAACAAAATAATAATAATAGCAATAATGAACCAACTGCAAATAAGCAACCAACTATGGGTTCTGCTGAAATCTTTGCTTTTTGTGGAGTGATTGGGGTGGTAACAATAATTGCTGCTGTGGGAATTAGGAAGACATTAATAAGAAAAAAAATAAAGCGGGCCTAATGTTTCTAATAACATTACAAAATTACAATATAGGCAAAGGACAAAAAGAGTGGTGCAGAGATGTTGTTAAAAAAATAAAAATATAATTATAATACTATTATTATGAATTATTCAGTTATCCAATTGGCTCGAGAACAATTAAATGTGTTCGAAAATGACTATCAAGTGTTGGTAAAAAAAATCAATCTCTCCCTCTTTACTTTGACTAAAACCAATCTTAGCACGGAGGAAAAGGAAAAAGTGTGGAGTGGGCTATTAGAATATACCAAGAATATTATCAGGAGAGTGGAGGAAATTTTAGAAAAGTTAGAAGGAGTGCGTTTTTCGCTTAATGAAGTAGTGCTACATGAGGAAAAAGATAATTTAATTCAGGAATATCATTTATTAATAAAAAAATTACGAGAAGAAAAAGAAACTATTCTCCGCCAAAAGGAAAAAAAGAAAATGATTGTTACTCCTCTTCGTAAAAAGGCAGTCAAAATTGGTTACTGTTATTTTTGTGATATCAGTATCGCCACCGATTTTCCCTACAAATTGAAAGTGGAGGAGCAAAATACTCTAGGAATTGAAATTGCCGAAGGAGCCGCTTTTTGCTCTCAAGAGTGTTTGCTAAACTATTGTAAGGAATATAAGAACAGAGAAAAAATGCGCCAAGAGGAGGAAAAAAGGAACAAAGAAAAAATCGCTCGCGACCGACAAATGATTACAGAAATTCAGGGGCAAATAGCCAGTTTGACTGCCAGAATAAACCGATTGGAGCAAAGAGAACGTGAATTGGAATTGTTGCCTGAAGGCGACCAAGTAGAACGACCAGAAAATGATGGTTTCTGGCGTCGTCTCGGCCAAAAACTTGGTTTAGTCAAAAAGCCCAATCCTCTGTCACGGTTGGAAAGAGTGAGAAAACTAAAAGGAGAATTGAGTATTCAATTGGAAAAAACCGGGGAAAAATTGCAAAAATCTTTAATAATGCTCTCACTAGACGAGCAAAAAGAGGAAGAAAGAAAAAGGTTGGAAAAAAAAATCCTCCTAGAAAAAAATAAACTTACTGCCAAAGAAAAAGAAGTGATTGACGAGTAAGACAAATTGCTCTGTAATGAAAAACAAAAACTTTAAAATAATTAAATATAAGTAATGACAACTAAAGCCTTAATGGTTAAAAGCCAAAAGATTCCCAAATATTCAACCCGAAAGTATACAAGGTGCCTGGTCTGCGGTCGTTCTAGATCAGTTTTTAGTGATTATAAACTTTGTCGTATCCATTTTCGCGAATGGGTTTACGAAGGTCGGCTCCCAGGTTGGAGAAAGGCTTCATGGTAAAATTTATCCAGCCCAGCAAGAAGACTCCTATCTTCAAATTCTTACCATAAAGAATTAAGCAGAGGGCGAAAGATGATTGGTTCACCAATTCTCTTCTTAAAGACAAAATTTCTAATTTTGTTCTTCTTAATCTAGTTATCTATACAAGAAACGAAAAGTATATGAATTCAATTAGAGATTGTGCTTCAAAGTTAAAATACGATAATTATTAGAAACTCAAATAAAATATAGAAATGAATAAAGAAGAAATTATCAATTGAATAAATGACGATTTTTCGTTAACTATTGACGATGTAAAAAGGTTTATTAATGTTGGAGAAGCCCAAACAATAGAGTTAACATTCGCCCAATTTTCACAAATATTCCCCGATATTTTTCAAGCCATCAAAAATTATCTCAATAATCACCCAGAGGATTTTTTATTAGGTCACGAAGTTCATGAGAATACTTCAGCAGGAGATGAAGGGGTAAGGTCATGATGAAGCCCCTATATTGATAGATTTGATCCGCGAGGTTCCGGAGGCAATTTTGGAGCGACTACCAGGAGAATAGAAAACAGAAACGGAAATTTCATTCATCCTAATGCTCTTACTGAGGAACAGTATGAAGAACTAAAAAATTTAATAAGTCATTCGAATATTGAAAACGAAAAACTAGGGCAGGACTACAATAACGATTAGCAAACTCCAAAAAATCATATTTTAAATCGACTGTATTGGCATATAATAAGTCAGGAGTAATTAACGGCTTATTTTTATTGCCTCCTTTGGAAGGATTTTTATATTTTCTTCTCGTGCTTTCTTCATTTTCAGGTTGTTCTTTGGGAACTTCTTCATTCATTCCCAAAATATCTTTAAAACCACCTCATTTTTCGGCTACTCCCGACAAGACTTTTTGAACAAAATTTTGAGTTTTATAAACTTGGGAAACGGCTAATTCTGCCTTTCAAATTTGAGTTTTGGAACTCATGAGATAATAAATACCTGACGGATTAGCCCGAACTTGATTGAGAAATTTAAGCACGAGATATTTACCCGTGCTATTTCCATCTGGATTGGTGCCTCCTTTTTCCTCTAATCAGAACTGATTTAACCCAAGTTAGCAAGAAGTCCCCCATCCTCTTTTAGGTGGTGGGATGAATTGCTAAAATATAACATATACT